GTTACACACAAAACCTGCGAGTGGGCAAGTTCATCATCTTAAAAAGGGTAAAAAAGAAAAGATAGAAATAAAACAAACTTACATCTTCATTTTCACTTTCTCGAGGCTTCCCTCTCTTCATATCATGTACGTCGTCAACCGCTACATGCTGGAATTTAAGTCTGATTAGATATGTGGCACAAATCAAAACACTTCAAAACTGTTTGTTGAGGTAAATATAATTACTTCGGCTGTTTTTGCTAAACTTGGGGTTGCATCTTCACCATGCGCGCTCTCCTGAACCCAGCAAGAACCATCGGAGGCGCCTTCAGCATTGACTTCCTGAACTGGTCCTAACTAATAACATTTCAGCAGTCGCAGAAATAATTGTTACTAGAAAGATGGGAGAGGAATCGATATGCACCTTAACAGGTGACTGATTTGGGGTAATTATATTCGGAAGTCCTGCGGAAGGTGATCCCCGAAAAGAAGTGGATTCCGAAGCCTGAATGTAGCCATAAACATCATATTAAACTTTAAAAATTAGAGATACAAAAAGCAGCTCTCATCGCAGGGGAGTGACCTTAATATAAAAGAAAGCTGGAGGTAAAAGGGGGAGGAGGGGAGCGAGGAGAAGCTAAAGGAGGGGAAGAGCGAAGAAGACTTTGCGTTTCAGTTATTCCCTATCTGAATATTCTTCCTCACATATATAGTAAAATGTTTTTCTTCCATTTGTTAGGTCGGTTAAAAACCTGAAAGTGGGGGAGGGGATTTCTTGAAGACAGTCTACGTGTAGACCTATGATAAACTCTTTTTAATGCGAGTACAATAACTTGAACTGATACACGTGGTTAGATGTTTGAATTTGAGACCGTAGATATTGAAAGGATGACTATGCAAAGTTTTGATAGCCCAGGGATGCAATGGCTAAATGTAACCAACTATTTTTTTGTGAAGCGGTATAACTAGTTCTCTCGTCTGAGAATCAGGAATTTGTCAAATTTAGATGAACTAAATACCAGCCTATTTCTCATACCTCAGAACTGTCTTTCGACTTCAAATTTTCAGTGTCGAAAACAAGTTTTCTTGGACGCCCTCTACCGCGCCTTCTCGTATCTATGCTGGCAGATCGTTTCGCAGTCACAGCATTCTCAAAAATGAAAGCTTACAAGTGTGGATTTTTTCGTTACCGATCGTGCTACCTCTGAATCGGATGTGGAATGCATGAGTGGTTTCTTAGGACGCCCGCGAGTTCGACTCCTAACATTGGCAAAAAAGTTGGTCTTTTCTCGGTTTGATTCTAAAGTTCTTCTTGCTCCGGCTGAATTTTCGATGGAAGTCGTCTCCTAAAACAAACTCTGACGCATTACTTCGAACCTGAGCCTGTGGACAAAAAGTGTAATCCACTACGAGTGACTGCAATAACGTCAGCTTCCTGGCCTTTTCTGTGGTGCTTTTTGCATGAGTTAAATCAAGGGAAGGACCCCTCTTATGACCAAAAACGAGCAGGAAGAGGAAGTGAAAGTGCCAGAAACTTGAAAGCATATCATATCCGCCTTTTGCTCCCCAGTCACAAGTAATGGGTGGCTTTAGAACTCACATACTTTTGACTCTTCCTTTAGAATGAGAGGACAGGGAGAAAACGACTGCTGCTTAATGGGAGTACCGAGTTTCATCTGTTCTAACATTTCCCGCATTCTGCTTCTCGTAAAGCGACCTGACTCCGCCGGAGCATTTTTAAGGAGAAACTAAATAGAAGGCTGATGTGACACCTTTGAGAAGATGCGGTATTACCTGCTCTGTAGGAGTATACAAATGATTGTCGTAATGCAACTGTTTATGGACAAGGGCTGTTGCCTTGTCCATTCCTTCCACAATCTCTTCTAGATCTAATACTTGAGGTCGTAATTCGTCATTATTATTTGTTACTTCTGGGTCACTAAGATCACCCTGACGAACGGCGTCCACTGAAAAGTAGTGATAAATGCTGTCCAAAATGCGCGAAGGAAACTTACCCCTCTTAATAATGTTAGTCATCTTTCTTTTATGTTTGATTTTATATTGTTCAACAATCATCGAGTTATGACGACCTGAAAATGTACCAATTAACCATAGAAAGTTCAGGAATAAAAAAATAAATTTCACTACCTTGAACTAAGTAAATTTTTTTGATTTTCCATAAGACTGCAATTTTGTAATCAGATGATAAATGGCAAGTAGCTAACTCAATACAATACAAAAGCACTTACACAAAAAAGCAGAAAAAAAAAGTGAAAGTCATTTTAGTACAAATTTCAACAAAAAAGCTTATGTACTTTCAAGATTGGCTTCCACTTCCCAAGACTGTTTTGGACCATTATCATTCCAAAGCACTTTGTAGTAAATCTCGCCATCGCGTTCTTGAGCATCTACAATCGCTTCTGCCTGGAAAAAAAAGTAGATGATTTCCGTCACTGTTGTATAATACATCTCATTTTTTGCTAAAAAATACCAAGTTTT